CCCAGTGCCAGCTCAAGTCCCCGCGGTCTGCTTGTGAGAGGTGCGTCAGAAGAGGGTTGCAGGACGCACGCCGGGTATGCCGGTTCAGAGTCGGCACGTTCGTCTTCCACAACGTCTGCACCGTTGCCTACTACAAGGAGAGGTTGAACCTGTTTCCTGACAAGTCCTCGCTCCACCAAACTTTGACGATATTTGAGCGGTTTGATATTACCGTCCACGGCAGAGCAATTCAAGAAGCTGTTGGCGAGCTAGGGCTGTCGCACACAGGACGGTGACCTCAGCTCGTTACTTTGCCACGGGGGAGAAGACGGTCAAGACAGCTGACTAACAGCTCAAGCTCTACGCGCTCGCACAGTGCTCCCCAAGCCTGACTGCTGAAGAGTGCAACATATGCCTGATACAATTACTTGATTTTCTGTTTCTTTCCAACGACGAGCAGACTGGCGGGAGAGCTGCTACTTTGTGGTGCATCTACCGGTACTCCTTGCACCCTTTGTTCAGCGGCCAACCCACTGTGAAGCTTGCAGCAGACACCTTCGGTACGTAACCACAGAAATGAAATATAATCTTTTGTTAATTATATATGCATTCCTCTTTTTTAGTGACGCAATATGATTGCAATTATCGTGTCGATTGCAGGAGATGCCCACAAGAAGCACTTACTGGAATGGGTTTTAGGAGCGGTGGGTACAGCGTTGGTGGCGGCAATAGTGATCATCGCCGTAGCACTATACTGTGAAGTTTGCAGGACACGTAAGGTCTTGTTTAGTTTCCAAAATTTTTTGTGTCATACAGTAAAAGAGCATGTTTGGACACATGCATAGAGTACTAAATGTAGACGAAAAAAAAACTAATTGCACAGTTCTCGGCAAAATCGCGAGACTAATCTTTTAAGCCTAATTAGTCATGAAAGCCTTAAGTGCTACAGTAACCCACATATGGTAATGACCGATTAATTAGTATCATTAGATTTGTCTCGCAGGTTCCTGATAGGTTCTGTAATTTGTTTTTTTTATTAGTATCAAAAACCCCTCCCGACATCCTTCCGACACATTCGATGTGACACCCAAAAATTTTCACCTCCCCAACTAAACACACCCTTAGTTCCTCTCTCAGCAGTATACATGTAATTGGTGGATAATAACTTTCATCCTAAATAACTGAACTAACAATGATTGGTAATCAATTTGCTGGTTAAAAAGGACAAGAACTTGAGTTGAACGGCATGGAAAGTGAAGAAGCAGCGCTTCATGACGATTCAGGACAGGTCAGTCAGTTTGATGATGGCACTCAACTGAGTACGCAGTAGACGCGTGGCAGTTCCAGCTCGGCGCTTGCTCCATGGGGCGTGGGCCCAACCTTGCCGGTCGCGTGCATCCTACACGCGAAGGGTTAAAGGCATCGTCCTTGCCTCACGATTGTTCCAGGATGCTCTTGCTCGCCGCCTCCTTCCATCTCCGCCTATAGACCTGACCCCCGATGCCCGCATGCGCCGCCTTCTCCATTGCTGCCCGCGCTGGCTAGGCCGCCCCAACCCGTCCGTCGTCGTTGTAACACAACAAACTTGACCTCCCCTAAGCTACTCCTTACGCATGTCTCTCTCCTGTCGTGGTGTTCCACACCCCACCCCCGATTTGTGTCCCACCCGCGCCAGTGCGGCAACAACCGCGCGCTTTTCTAGTTTCCAACGCGAGCAACGTCCCCTTTTTGTTCCCCTGCCCTATTCATGTGGGCGCCCTTGAGGCATATGTGCAGCTGCGCCAGTGCCGGCCCTAGAGGGAGGGCACGAGGTGCGACAGCCGAGGCCTCATGCCGGGGAGGGGCCTAAGTCTAGGTATACAAACCCCCAGGCCCAATAGTCCATTAGGCATCATCAGCAAACTAATGGGAAGACGGAAGATAGGCAGATAATTGGCCAGGCCGTCCAAGAAGACAACATTGGTCTTTCTTTCCAAGGCAGAGAGGAGGCGAGGAACCACGTCGCACACTCTGATCACGACTCATGAGTTTGCGACGCGCCGACGCGCGGAGAGCTGGACCGCCAGAGAACGGTGCACGACGGCGGCGACCGGACGAGGCTCCACGATGACGACATCTTGGTTTGTGCCTCCTTGCGAATTGCATTCGCCGATCAGTTGTTTCAATTCATGTCCACGTTCTAGATATTTTTTTCTTGTTCATTTTTTAATCCAAATTAATTATTTATATAGTATTCCTGACTTCTATTATTTTGTACTCGTATAGTTATGGTTTACTTCTAATTTAGGTGTTACATTAAAAATATATTATTATATTATTTTTATTTTGTAAATAAAATTAGCATCTATATATTATAAAATTTTAGAGGAGCAATGACGACGAGTTCTTCGGAGGGCCGTCGAGATCCTAGGACCGGCACTGAGCTGCGCGGTGCTCTGCAGTTGAGTCCCCGCGCCGCCCACCTGCCTACGATGACCGCTGACGAGGAGCCCGCCATGCTGCGAGGCGTTCCTCTCGGACGGCCTCTCCTCCAATGGATCTATCGTATCTGAGGAGCACCCAGGACGTCATCATCAACCATGCTAGTGCCATCTTCTCCACTAGGTACACGTTTTTTAATGCTCATGTGCCGTCCTCCCCTCTGATAAATAAATGAGCCGTTATTGGCTCAGCGTGCACATCCCAAGAACACGTACCAGTGGTACTATGGATGCCTTTTTATGCGCTACCAGTGTCACATAGAATGACCATCCTTCCTAACTTTTGTTGAATTCGATTATCTGCCTGAGTGCATGTACACTCCAAATCATAGAGCGCTCTTATCTACATTTTATCTCTTCATCACCAATTACGATGAAGCGCATCCTCTAGAGGTGCGGCGTAGCGCGACAATCTTGCTAGTATGCACAGGTTTCAAAAAGAAGTAGTCCCCAGATTTTTAGAAAATGTCTGAGCCATTCTTCTCTATTTCTAAAAAAATTACAAATTAGCTTCCCCAAATAAGAAAGGAAGCATGAGCACCAAGAGAGCTAGCACAATACTAGCTGATTCTAAAATTGTAAAATCCCTCACTATCCGATGCACGTACTGTTTCTCTCGATTGGGAAACAAAACCATCTGGAATCTGTGAGAAGCAGGTTGGTAATGCGCTAGTAGCTCCACAGTGCGATGTCAGCGGTGCCATGCTCGACGTCCCGCCGGCTTCTTGGGCAGCGCCGACCACACCGTCCGGTACCCCTCTTGCTCCGCGGACGACGGTGGCGGCGAGTCCGTGTCCATTGCAGACTCGCTGAAGATCCTGTAGGCGTGGTGGCTGTGGCTCCGGTCGTGCTGGGATCGATGGAGCTCGGACTTGGATGGAGGGAGGGGGAGGAGGCAGGAAAGTACTCCCTCCATCCCAAATTGTAAGTCATTCCAAGAATCTTGGAGAGTCAAATTTTTTCAAATTTGACTAAAATTATAGAGAGAAACACAAAGATTGATGACATCAAATAGGTATAATATAAAAATATAACTAATGAAGAATCTAATGATACTTACTTGGTATGATAAATATTATTATTTTGTTATATAAATTTGGTCAAACTTGAAAAACTTTGACTCTCCAAGATTCTTGGAATGACTTACAATTTGGGATGGAGGGAGTATATATAGGTAAGTGGTCAACTCGGTGCAGGTGGTACGTTAGTGACTGGTCGTCAGTGCCGCGGGGAGGGAGAAGCGATTAGCTGGAAATGGAAATGGAAATGGACAGCGTGGCGTGGAGGATCGGCGTGCGTGGCGGTCCAAGTCAGCCACTGCGGCGGGGCAGTGCGGTGGTGGGGTGGGGTCCGACGTCAGTGACTGCCTACTTGCCTTGGCCTCGGGGTGTTACTCCGTCACTGGACACTATCAGCTTCATGGCGTGTGGTCTGGTCTCCGTTTACTTTTCAAAGCTGATCTCCTGGTTGCCTTGCCCGCGGTGGCTCGTGCTTGGCCGGTGAGGCCCGTTGACAACGTTCCGGTTCGATCTCTTTGCTGAGGTACGTACGACCATGTTTTGGGTTCCTCAGTGGACTAGAGAAGATCTTGAAGGTCTAAGCCTACGTTGGCCATCCAGATGTCAACGCACAAAGCTGGTATTCCAGATTGGCATAAGAAAAAGTATGCGATGCCACACCAGTGTCTTTCCTTGGCCATCCATAGGCCGATAGACCACAGTCAGCAACTCAGCATGAAGCAATGTTAGGACATGAAAAGATAAAACATAACTGCAAACTTTGGTCTTGGAGCATGAGACCCGAGGATTGATCGATTTTGTTTAGTTCTCCTGACTCCTGCTCGGCAGTTACCCGCGTGTAAGACCTGCTAGCCGTATGCCTGTATCTGTATGAAGCGAACAGGCAGTCGAAGCAAAATTCTGCCCTCAGTTGTTGTACTCACAGTGGAGCCTGAAACGGCCATCTAGACAAGAGACCTCACCGCGTTGTGGGAAAAGAGCGCCGCTGCTGCCTCCCCTCCGCCCAGTGAAGCGACAGCTCGCGTAACTCACTGGAAGGATTTTGACTGCAAGAAGGAAAGAAGATTCAACGATCGAGTGGCTTCAGCCAGCAGAGCAGGTTGAATGACCGGACTGGGTCCGAAGTGGAATGGCCACATCTTCTGGATCAGTCACTGGGACCGGATCACCAGCACGTGAAAGTTGCCTCCACTATTTGCTCGTGTTTTGGTCTATGGGACCATCACAAATTCACAAAGTTACAGTCGCAAAATTCGCAAATGAACGGATGCCCTTTCTTGCAAGGACTCTCTGAGGCATGTGTTGCTTTCCTGTTCTCTCTCTCTCTCTTTAAGATCTGTTTATGGCTAAAAACTGCATGGACGAACCTCGAGGTGTCGATGCTCAAAAGACAAGAACAGAGACCGAAAAGTTTGACACGAAAATTTTGAACCGTTGAAGTTAATTAGCCATTTGAATTTTGGTATAGAGTCATAACAGGGTACAATCAGTTGGGGGTCGTCAAAGCTTATTTGTTTAGTTGCTAGTAGCTCCAGAGCCCGACGTCCGCTCCGCCGTCGCTGGAGTCGCCATGTTCCCAGGCGGCTGCCGCCGCCGGCGGCTCCATGAGCAGCCCCTCCGCGAGGCTGGCGTAGTACGTGTCCAAGTCCATGTCGCCGAGCCAGTCGGGCTCGAACGCTTCGACGTCCAGTGCCGCCGGCTCGTCAGCCTTCACAGGTACTTGCTCAAGCGACGTCGCCGCCGAGCCGGAAACAATGTCCGGCAATGGCGGCGGAGCCGACACGCGCGATGTCACCTCGTCGACGGCGGCGGCGGCCTCGAATCGGCGCTGGAAGTCCACGACGGCCTCGAGGGCGGCGCGGCGGGCGTCGTCCAGGCCCGAGAGCGCGGACGGCGGCGGCACGGCGAGCAGCCGCGCGGAGTCCGGGAAGTTGAGGCAGCCCGCCCCCGATCGGCCGCGGCCCAGGGCGAGCATCGCGGTGTCGTGCGCGCGCGCCGCGGACTCGGCGGCGACGTAGGTGCCGAGCCACAGCCGCGCGCCGCGGTTCCCCGGGACGCGCACCTCGCAGACCCACCGGCCCGCGGCGCCCCGGCGGCGCACGCCGCGGAACACCGGGTGCCGCGTCTCGCGGAACTTGGTGCGCCCCGCGGGGCGCTTCTTGGGGGGCTGCGGGGAGGACGAGGACGACGGCGACCAGACCGCCTTTTGTTGTGGTCCGACGAGGACGACGCCGAGGTGGAGGAGGAGGAGGATGGCGAGAGCTCGAGGCGGCCCATGTCCATGGCTACCTGCTGCTGCTGCTGCTAAAGTGCTGATCCCTGCTTGAGGTCGGTGTTGAGAGTGGAATGAAGCTGCTCGGTTGTCTTGAGCTTGAGGAGCTTGAGTGCTGTGTGGAGGGTGTGGTTTTTTGGGAGGTGGTATTTATAGGTATGCCTCCGATGCGATACGCGGAGACGACATGGTGAGTGTGGGGGATGGGGGAAAGCCGCTCGCTGCTTGACAGTGGTGTTGCAGGGGAGGGCATCTAGGCATGGCCCGCCTGCACAACCGAAGCAGAGGCGGACGTGGACATGTACTGATGGGTGATGGGGACTGGAGAGTGATTCTCCTCTTCTTCTTTTTCTCGCTTTGAGATGGGGGAGTGATGGCTTTTACCGATAAATTGTTGTAGCAATTTTGATCATATGTTTTTTTTCCTCTACAACAGGTTTTCATATAGTTCAAAAATAATCAAATAATCTGTAGCGGCCAATACATCTCGTGGTAACGAGAATGTATTGTTGACGTCTCGATGGCGACATGTTTTGTTTTTTTTAAAGGAAAAACACTATTTGTGGTCCGTTGTAAATTATCAGTGGCTCTGGATTCGTCCGTGCATTCTGGAGATCCCCTGCTCGGAAGCGTGTGGACGGGATATTTTGGCTTCAAGTGCTCGTGAGCGTGGGGGAAGATTGAAATTCGAAACATTTGCTTTGTTATAGGTTCGCAAAGGAAGAAATAGAGACGTTTTTAAGAGCGAGTCGGGTTGTGTTTGGCTTTATGCGAGCTGTTGTGTTTTGAACTTTTGATCCGACGCCATAAGTAAGCAAATCTCGAATGATTTTTTCCCCAACATAGTTCAAGTGCAAGGCACAATTTTCATGAATGCCGTTACACGTCCATCCAAGGAACTAAAGACACTTCCATTTTGGGATAGAATTTGAATTGCCTGTCATCCCATACCGTTAGATTGCGAACTGACAGTTTTATGTGAAGACCGCTGCTCGTCAGCCGTTGGGTGCAGAAAGTGTCGGAAAGTCAAGCGTCAAGGGCATGCTCCCAACTCGCTCTGTTTCATTGCCACAAGCAGTAACCACTAACCACTACCATTAAGGTCCCAAAAGTTGGGATCGGCAGCCAAGAGAAAGAAAGAAATGCAAGATTCGAACTACAAACTACGACGGCTTCAGTTCTAGTAGCTCCACAGTGCTATATCGCCGGCGTTGGCGTAGCCGTCGTCGCCGAACGCCGGGACCGCCGACGGCGGCTCCATGAGCATCGCCTGCGCCATGCTCGCGTAGTACAAGTCCCAGCTCATGTCATTGAACACGTCGAGCTCGAACGGCGAGGACTCCTCCCCGTCGGTGGAGACCTCGTCCTTGACGCTGGCGGCGGGGGAGGAAGGCGCCGACAACGCGGCCGACCGCGCGTCCTCCTCCCCCTCCGGGAGCACCTCTCGGCGCTGGAAGTCCTCCACGGCCTCGGCGACCGCGTGGCGGACCTCGGCGAGGCTGGCGTACGAGGCCGGGACCGCGAGCAGCCACGCGGAGTCGGCGAAGTTGAGGCACGCGCCCGCGCCGGCGATGGCGAGCATGGCAGCGTCGTGCGCCCGCGCGGCGCCCTCGGCGGTGTCGAACGTGCCGAGCCAGAGCCTGCAGCCGCGCCTCCCCGGCATGCGCACCTCGCACACCCACCTTCCGGCGTTGCCCCGGCGCCGGACGCCGCGGAACACGGGGTGCCGCGTCTCCCGGAACTTGGTCCGCCCCGCCGGCCTCTTCGGCGGCGACGTCCACACAGTCTGGTGGTGCTCCGACGAGGCCGATGCCCAGCTGCACGGCGAGCTTGACTCGGCGCTCATCTCCTTCTTGATCGGACACATCTTCTTCTTATCAGCTCTCGGTTGCTTAGCTTGAAGATCTTTGGTCGTTCTGACTGAGTTGGGTCTCGAGTGGGTTTGGGATGCGAATGGCGGATTTGCGGGCGCATATTTATAGGTGGTGGCTGGATGGAGCACAGAGTGCAAAGCGCGGGAAGAAGGGAGCCAGTCCAGTGGACGAGCACACACTATCGGCTGGAGAATGAAAGCAGAGGAAGGGGTGACGCATCTGGGTAAGGCCGGGAATGCAACTGTGAGAGGCTTCGAGGGTGACCTGATATTTTCTTTCTTTATTATTGGGGTAGTACCACCGCTGGACTTCTTTGGCTTCCGCCTTCCGTGGTCGGTTTCAGTCTCTGCTTACCTGCATCAGTGCATCCTGAATACCGCAGCTGTTTGTGGCCTTGTGAAATGCCGTTGGTACAGAGAAAATAAGAAGCTGTTGCAATTTGCAATTCTGCCAATTCAGATTTTGGGTACAGTGAGGATGAATCTTTGTCTTGGCTTTGGCCCTCACTGGGTGCTATTTAGACGGCCGTGCGCGACACAACAAGATATCTCCACTGGGGGAAAAAAAGAAAAAGGAAATTGTAATCCTCGAATTGAAACACTGCTAGGGGTTTTTTCTAGCTATATAAACATGCAACCGTGGATGCCAGCAGGAGGCTAACCACGTTACCCTCAAATCCTACACGCTGGCCATGCGCCCCGTACGCACGGCGGCCAATCGATCGATCTCGATCAAGGCACCCCAGCTATGATGCTCTCTGCTGCTTGCGCGATCCCGCTCGTCGTCCAGTTGCCGTTTGGGGGCGGTCAAGAGGGGGCCGCGAGGCGCGCGGTCGACGACGGCGACAGCGCGGGACGGGACAGTTCGCGCCCGCCGCAGCAGCGACGCGCAAACGGGCAGCCTGGGCTTACCCGTCCAAAGTTGAGTCTGATTGGTTGATTAGATTATGGAATCCTTTCAAAGTTGTGGGATTCCGGGCAGGTCCAGTTGCTGCTGCTGTTGACTGTCCTGGGAACGGGGAGGAAGAATACTTTGCAAGTAATCTGAACCCTGATTTTCTATGCTGCCGGTGCTAATCTGGTGGGAGCCAGCTGCAACCGGAAGGTATCCTAACACTAGCAGTCTGTATTTCTTTAAGGAAAGCTTTGGCTTTTCTTTATTCGGCTCCTTGAACCAACTCCAATACTATTGGCTGCAAGATTTTAATACTTTCCAATTGGTGACTGGTAAACACCAGAATTGTGCCGTGGCGAATATCTTTTTGGTCCATCTGACATCCTCTGTGGGCACCACCCAAGCTCCAACCACACTTTCACTTTGCATTTGTAATAGGTATATGCTAGTGTTTTATAAAGGAATAACACGTTCTGATGCCCTGGAGTGTCACTGCAAAAACGTGCACTTCAGAGTTGGGGAACTGCGACAGAAACAATCACCGCAAGCATGAGCTGTGATAAGAGATGTTACAGCTGTGTTTGATCGGCTTTGTGATTTATGTACTGCCAATTGAGCGAACGTGATGTCATTCTCACGCTACACATCAAGTGCGCACAAACAATGAACAACAGGCCATTTCAGGAAAGCGATGTGCATGTATGATTGATCCCCCTTTCTTATCACAATTGTGAGCAAGTTCCTTTTTTTTCCCCATCCGGAGGAAATTCAGTAGGGCGCTGAAGAGTTTACAGCGCAGACTGGTTAATGACTCACAACAGAAATGTTCACGGTTTTTAGTATCACTGCAAGAATTCTAGTAGTCTTCAAGTATGCTCTGTCAAGTGTCAACAGTTGACGTGCCGTTGCAGTTTGGATGTGCCATCAGTGCTGAAGAGTACGAGTGTTCAGATTGACTGTCAAGCGTCAAAGAATCCTGGTAAAGCAAAGGCTGCGGTTGCCCCCTGTATCCGTTGAACAGGCAGCCGGATCCCTCGCTTGTGGCCTCAGCGCCTTGGGGGTTTTGACCAAACAGGGCCTTGCAATTCTGAAATACCGGCCGGTGAGGCGCTGACTAGCTCCTTGCCTGATTGCCTCCTCTGAAGTCAGGATCTTCTCTATTTTCCTGTTGAGAAAGTCAAAAATTTTAAGGTCAGACTTTTTCCCAAGGCGTTTCTTGGTGGTGCTGGAGAAAATAGAAATGCACCGCTAGGATGCAGATGGCAACGGTGATGGCCATGGGAAGCAGGAGGACCCATCAGGGCGACAGGCAGAGTGTGAGATGACGGTCGCTTCAAGGGGGATGAATTGTCATCCAAACCGTTACCGGTTACCTTGCCAACTTCAAAGTCAACCACTATTAAAACTGACGAGATAAGTTCAGTGTCAACCACTATCATAAGCTCTAAATTCGAATATTTTTGCAAGCTTTAGAAAGTCAATGGGGCATCCTCTGTTTTCCCAATTTGCTCTGTCTGATTACCGGTAGTAGTAGTAAACTAGTAACCTTTACAATACCATAAATAGGCATCGGACGCAAAGAGAAAAGGCAAAACACTGAAGTAGAGTAGAGTATTCCTAGTAGCTCCAGAGTGGCACTTCGGCAACGGCGTCGTCGCAGAACGCGGTGATTGTGGACGGTGGCTCCATGAGCATCGCCTGCGCCAAGCTCGCGTAGTACAAGTCCCAACTCATGCCACCGAACACGTCCAGTTCGAACGGCGAGTCCTCGATGGCCGAAGAGGCTTCCTCGGCGTCGTCGTCGTTGGCGGGAGAGGACGGCGTCGACGACGTGGCCGAGCGAGCGTCCTCCTCCTCCGGGAGCGCCTCGCGGCGCTGGAAGTCCTCCACGGCCTCGGCGACCGCGTGTCGGACGTCGGCGAGGCTAGCGTAGGAGGCAGGGACCGCGAGGAGCCAGGCCGAGTCGGCGAAGTTGAGGCAGGTGCCCGCGCCGGCGATGGCGAGCATGGCGGCATCGTGCGCGCGCGCCGCGGCCTCGGCGGTGTCGAATGTGCCGAGCCAGAGCCTGCAGCCGCGGCGACCGGGCACGCGCACCTCGCACACCCACCGCCCGGCGTTGCCCCGACGCCGGACGCCGCGGAACACGGGGTGCCGCGTCTCCCGGAACTTGGTCCGCCCCGCCGGCCGCTTCGGCGGCGACGTCCACACCGTCTGGTGGTGCTCCGGCGAGGTGGAGGCCGATGGCGAGCCAGACTCGGCGCTCATCTCCTTCTTGATCTGGCACATCTTCTTATCAGGTGTCGATTGCTTCGCTTCAAGGTGTTGATCTGCGTTGCTGCTGCTTGAATGGCGTCTCGAGTGGTTTTGGGATGCGAATGGTGGATTTGCAGGCGCATATTTATAGGTGGTGGCTGGCTGTGCCTGGAGCAGAGTACAAAGCGCGGGAAACAGAGCAAGGGCGATGCATCTGGCTGAAGCAACTTGCAACTAGGCAACAGGGTGGCCCTGAGAGTGACCTGATTTCCCTTTTTAATGCCAACTTGCAACCACAAGACTGCTTTTGCTTCCGTTGCCGGTCTCTGTCTCCGGTTACCAGCAGCGGTTTGTGGCGATGTCAAATGCCATTTGTGGTTAGCTATGTTTTTTTTAACGGCTGGCAAAAGCTTTTCCGAAATTTTATTAGAGGGAGAAAAAACGAGCAGAACAAAAAAGCGAAAAACAAAGAGCTGTGCCTGGGGCACCCAACTGGACACGCCTAAAACCTGTACAAGGACAACTACTCTAGGTTGCTGATGAGGTAAACAAATGTTCTTTTGGGGCAAAAAGAAATCATTGCAGCTTGCAATTTGGGCCGTTGGTACATTCACGGTAGGAACTCGTGTTGTCAGGGGGCTCAGGTTGTTATCCAGATGGTCAGTGATCAGCTCACCAAATTTAACCTCTAAGATAGTGTTTGGTTCATGCTAAGGTAACGTAAATGTAAAGGGAATCAGATTACAGTGTATTTGGTGGTGAAACGGGTGATTACCCTCTTTGTTTGGTTGCACTATGGTAACGTAATCAGATTACGCTGTGGGTGCTATAGCTGATTACGGTGGGGGAGGAGGGGTAACAAGCTTGTATAGATATTATTTAGGTAAGGGATTCGATTACAGTGTCAATTGATTACAAACCGCCACAAACAAACATATGTAACGGGATTCGTTACCTTCACAGTAATCAGATTACGTTACATTTGAGCCAACCAAACACCACCTAAGAGTGAAGAAAAAGCCGAACTGGTGGTGCTAGTCACATTCAGCATCTCTGTACAAGTGGACTACCTTTTCCTTTTGGGACAATGATCTACTACAAATAGTGAACCCTTAATATAAAAAGTGCACGAACAATGATTTCCTCATAATTCTAACTTACACTTTGGAAGTTTAACTTTGGTTTCAAAATTCCAACCTTTCACCTTATATTTCAATATTTATGTTCTTTTAGGTTGTTTTAATGATCACTCAAAAAAGTATCGGAAATTTCAGTCCACAATATTATTTTGTCCCTTTTTCCTCGGAAGATCCATTTAGGACCGGTTGTACAGGGCACACCACCAGGCAGTAGAATACAAATAATATTTTGTCTCCGCACTGTGTAGATGAAGCATTAGTTATTTCATGTTTTAGATAAGACATGAGAAAGTAATTGTGGAGGGACACGGGTGATATCCGGAAAAATAAAGAGAAGTTGAAGTTGGCCATATAATTGAGTTGTTAATCAAGACCTCTAAAATCACTGGGACGCGATGTAGAGGTGGTGGTCACGGGAATACATAATTAGGGCGTCATGTGCCGTGAACAAACTAATGAAAAATCATGTAAGCATGATGGAATTGTTGGAAACCTAGTGCATATGACTTGAGCACATGAATGCGTAGATATACTAAAAATAACTATTCCGAGGGAGAGCCGAGAAAAATGTGGAAAAGAAGCGTAGCATGTTTGGAAAAAAAGTAGAAGAGACTCATTTGGGATGCTACAAATCTTACTATTACTAATTGGAGAGTCATTTTGAAGCCTCCAGGTGAAGCCACCTAGAATCTTAGGTGGACAATCTA